CGGCCCTCTATTACAGATTTCAAGACACGAAGTCTCAGAATACTGTAGAAAGAAATGTGTCACAATCCCAAATTTCCAAGCACAAAAACAGTTCATAGCAATAATTATAATTTATATTTTGTAGGTTAGAACAAAATACCTGCCATTTCAAAGAAGTGGTCGGGTTCGTACAATGTAATAGATAATATCAGTAAATAAACCCAGCTCTTTTCCACTCGGGAGAACAAGATTTTCCAGTAGTTTCTATGCGATTGAACAATGTGTTCGATGGAAATTCTGGAAATTTAAGTGAAATTGTCTCACAGTACAACGCTTACAGAATGCTTCCACTTCAATGTAAAACATAAACTCTATAAAATTCTATCAACTGTTTCAGTATAACTCTTATAGAGCTTACTTCAGACAAGGATTCTTCACATCTCTGGATTACTAGCGAAGCCAGGACACACTTTGTTATCCTCCACAGCATAATTTCATAATGGAAGATTTGAGCTCAAAGATAGTTGAACCGGAAGATTGATATAGTAAGCATAGCGGAATCAGGATTGTAGGGGACTAAAAGTGTTCACAGAAAAATAGGAATAAAGTTGTGTTATGCCCCGATAAGAATAATGAGTCGTAATTTTTGGGATCCATTTGCGGACCAATACTACACGTATATTTTTATCGTATAATTGTTAATTAACTAAACTATTCGTATTCATGTCTCTTTTAATATGAACTTTATTTTAACCTATAAACTGTTATTATACGATTTTCCATTCTTGAACTATTCCCTGTCTATTAGTCACTGCCTCCCTCATTCACAGCCACATCTGGCTGATTCTTGTACAAATGTTGTTTCATATTTTGTTTGTACGTTGTGGTCCGTTTGATTGGTATATAAACTCAGTATGTTGAAATATAATGATTCATATCGCAAAACAAATTTGACTGGATTTCGTCCAATTACCGGCTGACTGTGCTGGGCGGATCTTGAATGACTGCTGTTTCGTTTGAAGTACGGTTTATCGAGGATTCATGGGGGCTGCAATTATTTTCCAGCTCTCTGTGCAATTGAGAAATTAATCCATCCTTTTCTGCTTGGTGGGCTGTTATTGTGACAATTGTATGAACATTTAACAGGGCGCCTGTTTGTGAGGTGGATAAATCAGTCTGCACGTGCTGTTTCGAGGTTAATGGAGTTTGGGATGTGATAATTGTTATAACTTTTAACCGCCGATTAGAAAGCAGTGAATTATCGATCGTACAAGTGACGCGTAAGACACGTGCGAACAGCCTAGAGTTCTGATTGGTCCTGCTTTCCGCCTAGCCCAGCCAGTCAAGTCCAGAACACCAATCCGAGCCACTGCGAAATGAATCCAGTACCGGGCATGTTTCTGAAACGGGCAGTACTGGACCTTTGGGCGGATCTTGAATGACTGCCGTTTCGTTTGAATTACGGTTGGGGCATAACAACCCCTTTTTTTGAAGATCCGGAATTGATATCCGGATTTTAAATTTTCCAGGTCCATCCTCCCCCACGAAACAGTGTTGGATCCTCATATGCCCAAGTTAGAATTAATTTGAATTTGTTTTAGACATATTAATTTGGATTGTATTTTTTATCCCATCACCGTCGACAATTGTTATATCTGGTCGTCGCTGATTGTTGTGTCGAAAAAACCGCTGGTCATACGGTAATTTTCATTGCCAGTGCTGATTTAAAACAATTGACTCTCCCTTTCGATCGATTACAGCTGCTATTTGGGTGACGGTTGGAGTTCTTCGTCAAATCACACACGCAGCTGCTGAATCACCCATGATTTGAAGATGCGACGGAAGTGGATGGATTAATTTCTCAATTGCACACTGAGCTGGAAAATGATTGCAGCCTCTATGAATCCTTGGCAAGCTGTGATTTAAACGAGACGGCAGTCATTCAAGACCCACCCAGTGGTCCAGTACTGCCTATTTCAGAAACGTGCACAGTAATGGATTCAAATCCCATTGTCCCCGAAACACAAAATGCAAGCACTGACGTATCCAGCTCACAAAAAGATTCCCTGTTTAATGTTCATGGAACTGTCACAGTAACCACCCATGAAACAGAAAACAAATCGTGCAGTATGCTGAATGCAGCTGCACCAAATGAAGCTCATCATTCTTCGATAGAAGTTCCTGACAAATCTAGTTATCGAGATTCTTTTGTTTTGCCAGAAAATATGTCTTACGCATCAAATAACAATCAAGAACCTGGTGCACTTTTGTTGGACGCTGATTATCATGGTGACCCACTATCTACTAGTTATGTTCCCCATAAACTTGGTCACAATATTTCAAAAGAATCAAACTTCTATCACCTCATATCAAGCGTCTTTCAGCCTCACCACTCAGTCACTTTCAGTCAGTTCTCTGCTCCATGCGACAAATATGTTTTAAATAAATTCAAATTAACTGTAACTTGGGCATATGAGGATCCAACACAGTTTCGTTGGGAAGGATGAACCCGAAAAAAGCAAAATCCGGATTTCGATTCTGGATTTTAAAAAAGAGTAGTTGATATGATGGAAAGAAAAGTCAATTTTCAATTGAATTACTCATTATGAGTTTTATTCAACATTACATCCGTTCTGATGTCAGGTCAGTAAAGAATATGCAGTTACATAAATGCACATACAGAAATTTTTGACACCACTTTTATTGTCAGGAGCAGTATGTTCTGTTTCGGACACGAGATTCACAATTATAACCTGCAGTTAATAATCTCAAACACGGCACGTGATCGAAAGCAGTCCAGTAATAAAGATAAAAATGTGATTTGTAAATCTGCACAGAAATAACGTTATTGAGCCGCAAGTGTGTCAGCTGAATAAACGAAAACAAGGAGCATGTAGGCAGAAGTATTTGTGAGGGACAATCCGTGTGTCAAGCACAAGACACAAAGTTTACGGGCAAATCAAGGTCAGACTTAAGCGACAAGGTTTTAGTTACTAACAGTGATTGTATAAATTATGTGGAATTATCAAAAATGCATTTGTAAATTAAGTTTACGTTAACAAGGTTCACATGGTCTTTGATTTTGGATAGCCGAGGGCACCTTTTCCTTATATTGAACAGTGATTTGTGCTCCTAATGAACTCTAGGTAGACGCATGTCGGTTGTCATTTGAGATCTACGCAGGTCCGAACAGATCATAACAAGGATGGGTTACGAATAACAAGATCAAATGGGAACCAATCATTGTAATCAGTGTGAACGTGTGAGTTTTAGATCCACTCAGTCAAGAGGGTACCAGCGAACCGAATTGCCTACGACGTCTACGTCGCAGATTTGAAGAATCGGTATTTTAACGTGTCAAACCTGCCGCCTCAAACTAACCACGATAGCTCTGACAGTTCAACGGAAAACTTCAGCATTTATAAAGCACTGAACTAGCGTTTTCCTTGATTTAAGTTGTTGGCTCAGGTAAGAAGAAGCTAACGCATGTCCTGCCCTTTAGGAACGCAACCCAACAACTAATGATCAGCGAACATTCTTTTAGTACCCTCAAAGGTTACACAATCTACAATCTCTGATTATCTATAACTTACATACACATTCATAGAGTAACATCAGGAAGAGTGACCTCTCCATCACAAACATCGTGAGAGTGATAGAAACCAGACCAATATTCTCAGTCATAAGGTTTAGTTAGGCGTAACTTACTACGGATTATTGAAAGGATTTGGTTGGATCGGTCATATCTATTTTGTCACCAAGTCCAAAAAAGCATCTATTCACCACTGATTGACTGGTTTGGGTCTTTTTACACAATTAATTACTTATGATCAGGGTCCAGTAATGAGAATTTCATTCTGTTCATTTCGCACAAAGAAATTATCTCAGTAATTATCTTTAGAAATGTTTTACATTTCGCTGTTACGAAACTGTGGAAATAGGTTCATAACAAGAAGGACAGACTAATGCTTCCAAGGGATGTGAATAGGAGGCAAATTTAGTCAATAGCGGTCGATAAACTTTTAGCTTTGAAAGATGTCAGTGGATCCATCTGTAACATAATGTGACCGATATGTGTCCCATACGGTCTTCCATTTGGAATTTATTTAGAGAGAATTGATTCTGGAATCTTTATTCTCTGTAAATAAAATAATGCGTTAGGTGTGACTAACATAACTTGAGGCCCAAACTTGGGTTGAAATATTCGAAATTCATCCTCAGTTCGATAAATTGGGTCTATGTCTAACTTTGAGTGCTCTTATTCGACACTGCGTAAGGTACAAAAACCGTATTTCATTTCAAAAGAATAAGAGTATTTTGAAGCTCATTAAAATCAGTTGGTAATCTTAAACTCAAATCCCATATGGAACACCTTAAAAAAATGAAGTTACACATTTTAGGACACGAAAGACTCGGGCTTACAACGTCGTAAATACCTTTTATCTATCCTTGAGTCATTTAGGTTGAGCCTTAGCACAAAATTACAAGTTAGAAGTGGAATATAGTTGAACTGATGGTACATATGCTTTTTACAAGTAGTTGAGTCTTTGTAGTTCCTAAAATTATAAGTGTTCTAAGCAGCGTATCTACAGTCTTTAAGGAAGGAACCTGACCAATTATTATGGAGTTAGAAACGTATTATATACTCGAACTTCAAAGCTTTTATAGGGAGAGGTAGAGAACTGTTTGTTCTTTGAAATAAACAAAACGTTTATACATGTTTGTCTTCATATATATCTCCGCCTCTGCATGCAGAGATAGATGATCAACTGCCACCATACACATACACACAACATTGTTTTACAAAAGCTTCTATTCCATTCATAAACACCTGCACATTGTGGATGAACATTTGGAATCAGAGTTTGTTGAAGACAGCTGAACTACCTATCATCGACAAGATGAGTAAACCAGTAAATTTAAGTTCATTATGCAAATATTTCATGTAGGAAGTTTATTTCATAAACTAGAAACTGGTTCATTGTTCCACGGTGCATGTCAGACATTGTTTTCGTTGCTGAATGTGGTACTGCGGGACTCTCGAAATCACGCATGTGTTGCACGTTGTGGACTCAACGGGTTTAGTTTAGGTAGTAAGTTTGTTGTTTGTTTGTTTCTTAACTCAGTTTAACAGGTTTGGAGTGAAGTTTACTGCATGCCTACAGCAAGTAGGCTGGTTATATACTCTACTTGTGCTGTTACTTTGATATATTTGCTTCATTGTTATCGAAAAAGACGTAAGCATAGAGCGGCCAACAGTAACAACCCGATAAAAATTGCTGAACATCCTGTATCTTCGTCACAATCAGACGCCAGTGGTACTAAGTTTAGCGAGGAATCTTTTGCTATTCAAGTAGTTACAAATTTACGCTTACCGTTGTTAGGATTTAATTAGTGACATTGAATATAACGATCCACTTACCATCCTCACAGCCGCTTTTGTTAAGGTACCGCTAAAATTCTATTTTGATGTACAGACAAAATTTACTAACGAACGTTTAGTAGTCTTGAAAGAACAAAACTTGCAATTGGAAAGTATTTCTTTCTTGGAATCACTACTGCCTGTAGCGTTAACTTTTTCTGACACAGCACCCGGATTGTTAGCAATGGCGACCAGTCAGACAGTAGTTTCTACCTTGAACAATAGTTCTGTCTCAGGATCCGAGTCTGATCGAGCACTGACGCCCGACTCCAATTGTGATTTTTGTGGAATTACCCTTCCACCTGAAGGTTTCAGTGACCCTTCGAATGACATTTATGAAGCTAACCCCGAAGAGTTGGATGGCAAAATTTTGCCAAGAGTTCTCATTCCTAGTGATATGTGGGCTCAAGTCGTTGATAGAGATATCTGGCACGAGACATTTTTAATACCTGCCTACATGGGTGGCGTTTTGATTGGGCGGCTAGGAAAGTGAGTCTTCTTTATTTTTGTCATATCCCTTCAGGAATGTTAGAGAGCTGCGAAATGCATGGGAGGCCGAATTTAGTTTAAATACTTGCCCAGGAAAACAAGACACTCTGATCTTCAAATTATCATGCCCACTTAGACACAAAAATGATGTGCTACGCTGGGTATCCCATCGATTCAGAATGAGACCCTCCAAAACAACAATTGGAAACCCAAACCAACTGAAGGTTAGTATTTTTTCAGAATGTAATCGATAAATTTAGCGTCAACTTCCTCTAGGTGAACCGGTTCCGGTGCAGATTCGTAGTCTTTATGGTTCAAAGGAATTGTTCGTAACAGTACCTGACGAAGAGTACAGCAACTATCTAGTTATGCAGGAAGAGCTTGAAAAAGATTACTCAACCAACAACAATTACCGTATGCAACTTTGTGAACCAGTGACATCAGGAACAGTTGCTGTAGTTCCACATAGTCAGGGATTTGCAAGGGCGCTTATAATTAGTGTTTATCCTACCTGGCCAAAGGTAGCGTTCTACTACTTGCTAGACCATGGGACATTCGGTATTGTGCAGCTAAATAAATTAAGAAAAATCAGGTTAGTCGTACTTATTTACAGAGTTTAAGTTAAAAGGATCTTCTCTTTTACGATTGTTTTATGAAATTTTAAATAAATTTGCTTGGAAAATCCTGTAAATCTTATCTACATCAAATATTTACGAATTTCCATTCATTGCATCAATTGTGTTGCCTTCCAGTGGTATCTATTTAACAATCCTCTCACGTAAGTGTAAAACTAGTGCATGAACATCCACTTATTGTTAGATGCTGTATTGCTACTTAAATAAAAGCGCATTGAGCGGTGTTTGAACAACCGAATATTCGAAAATTAGGTGTCTTAATAATTAGGCCGCGCCGTGATCGCAAAATATATGTTTACTCCACTTAGATTTTTGGAATTGACTGTTTATGAATAGCGTAGTAAAGTAAGCAACTGAATATTGTGATTTTCATTGTTTACTATCCAAAAAATGTGCAGTTATTCGTCAAGCAGATTCCTTATATTTTACTCCTGAAGATAAACGAGGAGTTCCACAAATTAAGTACATTCAGGCTGTCAAATTACCGTACAGACTATTCTCCCGTAAACTTTTCTATCAAGTGTTGGGGCTCTTACAAATTTAGAATTTAAGTGGTTTGCTAGTAAACCGAAGTGGCTGGACTTTCCTTCATACAAATAACTGGTTTCTATTTTTCATTCCAAATTTTCTGTTGTGGATTATAATCATCTACCCTTTTGCCTAGTTTTTGATGCGACTTTTGCTTTCAAGTGGCCAATCACAATCCAACAGTATACATACTAATAGCTGTTGCTTACAGACACTTGAGATAGCAGCCTCAAAGTAACAATAAATGGTTGATTGGTTGTTGACGTCACTGATATAATCCCAACCTCCACATCACGGTTTTAACTGTTAGACACCCTCAGTGAAACTAGTGTCCATCCATTTATGTAGGTCTTATACGAATACACCGTACCATATTTTCCTCTTAAAAACCTTGCTAATATTTTTTGACTTGTTAGCTGTGGCGTATATACTAGGAAGAGGTTAACGTTCCGCTTCGGTAATCCATTTGGTTTACTAAATGACCTACGCGCCGAATAAAGTTATATGCACTGAAATATTGAATGCCATTAAAAACTGCATGACTAGCTCACAAGTATCTAAACTACTGATTCAGAAATCACATTTTGCTTAGTGGATTAAGAATGATAGTAAAGTAGTTTAACAGCATGTATTTGGTTTGCTAAGCTTATCGATCAAATCTAGAATAAACATTAATTGTGACTTTTTTGGTTGTTAAATGTTTTACGGACAATCAAATACTTTAGTCATCGGGAGTTCTATCTAAAAGTTAAATGCTCAAAATTAGTAATGTATGAATGTTATCGTTTAACCGAATTAGACCATTTTTCATCATAACAAATTGTACACAGAACAACATGAAACACAAACTAATTTAACTATGACAAGTTCTACATCCATATTTTCATCTGTTTGACATAAATAAACAAACAAGAATTGAACTCCACTTTACTAAAGAACTTTCGCAGCCTGATGTTGGCCCCATGTGATTTTCATAGTTACTTATAGCATATACATATTTGTCGCAACGTGATTAAAGTATTGGTTTTTAAATCCTATGTTTAGTGATTCCACAAATGTGGCTTAGGATTAAGTATTTTTTACCTGACTTATTTATTTGTAATTTTGTGCATTAAATCCCTTAATACTCTTAAATATTTTCTATATATATTCGTTTATGTTAAAGTAATAATTCTTCATGTTTGTCTACATCTTTGCAGGGCTAAATATATGAAGGTTCCTTATCAAGCAATTCATGTTAGCTGGGCTCACGCATTCCCTGTTTATTCGGATATTCCTGATTTACACATACTTCGAACATTCTTTAATAGTGGTCGCGTTCATGCATTTGCTGTACGTATGGAGACGTGTTGCCGAGCTTCTGTGGCATTCGGTGAACCATATTCACAACCATACTCATCTCATGGATTTCTCGATATTCTAGTCAATGCTTGTAACAGTGGACTGTTTATAGCTGTTCCTCTGCTAATTTATCCCAAAAGACAATCTTGGTTAAATAGTTCGTCGATTCCATATTATCCGTTCACATACAGTTACATCGATTATCAGTCATTAGTGACTTTTGCTGTTGAGGAAGATGACCAAGTGACCATAGATCATTCATCTTCCCATAATCAAAATCCGAGTGAAGATTATATTTATCCTTCCAAACATCAGGATGGGAATCAAAAAAAGTTCACTAAGTCAAGCGATAATTACTACCGCTCACAGCCTTGTGGCCAGCGTCGTGGACTGAGAGGATCTGCAACAGTCAGCAATACTGGGAATCGTCGACAAAATCCATATGGACCAAATCGTTTGCAAAATGGCCCTCTGTTTGCTACCTCTCAGAAAGAAAACCAATTTACATCGGTTAGCGAAAATACTATTGCATTAAAATCCACATCTAGTGGAAATGAGCAATTTGGCAGAAGTCAACTACGAAAACCGTTATCAAATCGTAATAATAGTGTAAGTAGTTCCAGGACCGTCTCATCGAATCCTGGACGAGCGACTACATTTAGTAGCCACGAGTAATAATTCGGATTATTTCATCTTGTCTTCTAATGTTCTTGCTCTTCACATAAGCTTCTTGCAGAATTTTATGTTTAGTGCTTTTGTCACTGTATATTCATTTTTAATCTGTGCCTTCTGTCACCCGTGTTTTCCTGACATATTTTAGTTTTTGTTTTTCCTACTTGCGCACATATATTACTCACTCTAATGGGACTTGAACTTTCCTACTTATTTAGTCCATATGATTTAAAATTCAAGTATTCATATGTTGTCTTATATTTTTGTTGAGTTCCTATCATTTTATTTACTTTCCGGTATAATTTTTCTGTCCATGCTGTGCTTAATTGGAGCAATTGTTTTTCCTCGACAAGTGTAATGTTTATTGATTAACCAAGGCGAATAAAGATGTTAAAGTAATCTATTTTCATCGTTTTACACAAATGGGCGACGTTTTGCTACTAAAAAGTTGTTTCAAGTAAGTGGGACACGCCTGACTCATATCTGACTACCTCCATCCGCGAATAACCTGCCGTATGAATGGTTTGTACGAAAGGTAGAGGTGGATAAACCGAAACATGGTACCAAACCATAAAACTACTGGTTGCCTATCTAGGTTTTGTAAGTAGATACAAACCATCATGTTGACCCCAGGGCGATTATGATGACGCAAATGTAATTCTCTTGATCTTAGATTTTGAAGTTATTATGTTTTTTATTCTGCGATTTTATCGAACGATATTCGCCACATCTTTACCACTGAGTACTACTAATTTAGTATTATTGATAAGTTCACCTCTCTGTTGATAGGGTATGACACCTGTCCTCAGTTTTGGGATGCCTGTGTCAAGCTGTTGTCAACAATATGGTAAGGTTCGATGGTAATTCATTCAGATATGCTGTCTCGAAACATTTGATATTGTTTACCGTTAAGTGACATGTAATTCGCCCATTTGTTCAATATTTAACGTTAATTCACTAGCGTATTCAATTGGTAAGTACTTTTAAAGATGGTGTCCCTAAATAAGATTAAAGCCTTATTTTATAGTTGTATGTTGGCGAACCATCCTTCATTGAAAACATTTATAAAAAGTAATTCTGGGTAGTCGTAATTTGAAAACATGTTAAACAGAAGGTTGTACTCATATCGCACGACTGGTGTTGAACATTCCTTAATGTAACAAAACTTATAGTATTGGGTGGGGTGATATTGTTGTTATTACTTGATTGGTATTTCTTTTCTCTGCTGCCTCATTAAGATTTGGCTAACTGGTTCACGGGTTGGAACTATCCAGATATAAGTAGTGTTATCAGCATCCACACTCAATGTAGATTTAAGCTTAGTCAACAAACCTAGAGTTAATCACCAAGTAGATGCTCCACATCGGAATTACTGATACCGTCTGGATTGTATGTATGTAGTCTGAAAGCACATTTTAGTATACTTGGTAATTAGATTGGTTATTCGTTTAGTAATAGCACTCTAGCAATTAGGCAAATCGGTTTAAGATGAGCTATAATGAACGAGAACACAAGTCGAGACAACGAAATGCATTTTGATACAACATTACAGAATATCTTGATGAAATCTGACAACCACACGGTAATACTTCATTTGCAGAATATCCATCGATTGTCTCAGACTTTGTTGCTCCGTTTCCATACCAATCACTCTCTGCTCTTGTTCTCTTCAATTTTCTCAACCATCTGCCTTTAGGCATTTTACATTCTATTAGTGGTACGTTCTACTTATATTTGCCGTTATCAATAGTACACACCACGAAACCACTACAATAGCTCACACTGTTAATGTCTTTTAGTATAGTCCTGGGAATCATGCTGTTAGTAATGAGCACTATTCGTCGTACTTTCAGTTAATCAACATGAATAACAAGCCATCGAGTAACAAAATATACTGTCCCTTAGATGATTAGTAATTGTAGTTCTCTATATTTTTGAAATCTCGAATTATTTCATACTTTCCGATTCTAATGGCTATTTTTTACTGATTACTTGACTTCTGTTCAATCTACGTCCAATATTATTCCTATGGTAACCTCTCGTTTTGAGAATTTAAAATTCAACAGAGATTTTTATTTGTTTTTCTGTCCCTTATTTCCGGCACATGCTAATGTAGCTCTTGTCAAGCGGTCAGATGATCACTCCACTTGCTTCCCAATTGCTATTTTGACAGTTCCCAAATGTAACCTTATTGTAACTATGTGATTCATCACCTACTTCCTTCAGTTCTGGTAATTTTTTATTCAAAGCTTTTCATTCTACTTTCTCAAACTATATTTCTAATCCTTGGTCGTTCTCACTATCATACCAATCACAATTATTTTGAATTTCCTCTGTTCGTTTTGTGCTCATTTAGTGTGGATACCTGAAATAACGCATACTTGTACCAGGCTCTGCGTTGCTTGTTACTGATAACTTAAACATTGAACGAAGTAAATGTCACTGCCTTAGTTCTTTGACATAAAGTCAGTATTTTTTCAAAACTAAATGCAGAATAAATTAGTCTTGATTTTCTCTGTTCAAAATAACCTGTTTAAATTGTCTAAACTAAGGTCAGAGGTCTATAACTTTAATATCATCATGGTTAGATAAAGTTTGCAGAGTTGATATTTATATTCTGGTTTGGAAAGTAAATTGATGTAGATTTCCGAAAAGTAGTAGCTGAATCTTCCTAAAGTCAAGAAATTATACAGCCAACGGTTAATTCGGTCGTTCAGTTAATATTCTAATTAGTGAGGCTACATTATATTAAGCCTCAAGTGGGATTGAAGTGAACTCCTAATGACTAAAAATGACTAATTTCTATCATTTTATTTTGGCTCCGTATCCATGAATTCAGTGCTAGCAATGAAAGCAAAGGCATATCTTGTAGATTTGAAACTCGGAGACATTACTGTTTAGTTGTTTGAACTACTTAAATTTGTTTTTCCTGGTAAACCATGAAATACGAGCCATGACCTATTTGATCACGTAGTCATTCATTGCTTCAGACTAGTTCTTGTTTATCTCGTATCATCATTCCACTCGTGCTTGCTTTATTAATCAATAATAAGTGATAGGTTAGATTTTTGGATATCCAAGCGCTTGCAAGTACAAAAAATCTAGTATAATACATTGTTTTTTTAACCCCACTTCAGACAGCACTTAACTGTCTAGACCTATTTTATTCCGGATTTAAATTTTCATTTATGGCTTCCTTGACAGGCATGTCAAGTAAACCGTGTCTGGGTAGACAGAATACATGTATTTACCTCTTCGTTCGTTTGAAGAAACTAGAAGGTTCCTCCGTTATTCAAGATCCAAATCCCAATATTATTTGAATTGTGTCCATACCCATCTGTAATGCATCGTACTTCCTGTTTACACGACTCTGTATGGGCTAACGAACTAGAGCCTAGATTTTCTTTTATTCTCAAATTTTCCAAATAATCAGTTCACAAGAAAATTACTTGATAGATAGGGTTATAGCATCTTAACCAGTTGACCGGTTGATGTTCAAACAACTACTGGATATTTTATCATAAACCTCCTGTTGTTTTATTCAGGTTTATATTTTGCCGTCGTAAATTAAATCATTAGATAGTTATTCAACGGAGTGTTAAAAAGAGCTGTCCACCAAACGTTTATTTGCCCATTGTGATCATACTTGTATTCAAATTACGTATTGATAAACACCAGGTTTAAATCATGTGCCTGAGTTAATAAGGTAAAAATGTATTTTTGCATTTTCCTTCAGTAAAGTCAAGAAATACTCATTTTTAAGTAATTTCTACTCGGTCAGGATTAGATTATCTTCAATACTATCTACAGAAAGACATGTCAATAATTTACTTTCTCAACATCCTATTGAGCCATGGATATCCATGGGAAGTTTCTTGTATAGCTGAGTCGTCGTTCAAAGTTATTTCAAGCTATCTATCATTTTATCAACGATGTAGTATGGCGATAGTGAAATATGCTAAAAGGAAAATGTACAGGTTAGTAACTAACTAAAAGCCAAAAGTAATATAATTCTAAAGTCTCAATGAGTAGAAAAATTAAATTTTCTGACGCTTCGTGACTCAGTTGAAGCCATTTCTTCAGAGAACGAAAAATTCCTACAAACTAAAAAACGTCTATGACAACTGTTTAGATGAAGGAAAATGGCACAAAATTAAATAGTTTACAGTTAGTAGTATTGTGAAGTTATTATTTAAGACTGTAACTGTAAATCGATGTCCGAGAAAGCAGAACAGATCATCTTATTTTACATGAAAAACATGTCACTGGTGAAAAGTAAACTGCTGGAATCATTTGAAATTGAAGTAAATCAGTAATCAAATGGCGTGGCAATAAACAGAAAAACTCAAATATTCTGGAACAATGCAAAAAGCGCTACACATTCGGAACTGTGATAACTAGTTTCTCCTTTATCTGTATAAACAGGAAATAACAGTTAGATATTATGACTGACATGGATAGCTTTAAACATAAATTGTGCTGGGATATGACAGATACCTGCATAGAGAAAATCCAGTGGATGCCAGAGATCCTTTAGAACGTTGGTATTAAGGTTAGTTTGTATTTAATAGACAATTCTAGGATTGGGTATCAGGTCAGAAACGAAACAAGGTGACAACAGTATGACAGGGATCTTTCATAGTGCATTCAAGGTTTGCGCTCTCTATTATTTTTTCTGGAGAAGTATTAGAAGAGTCGTGATTAGAACGTTCAGTCAAAGTAAAAAATAATAAAATCACTCATCAAAATCGAATAATATTTGGAGGAATATGTTGAATTTAGTGAGCTCTTGTTTTCAGTTGTAGTGCTTGTGAAATTTCATCGAAATCATGAACCGAACTAGCGAGAAGCCTTGACCGGTGGAGCTAATCCGTGTCAGCTGTGAGACAGTTACAGAAGACAATGGAAGGTGGTCACGCATTGTCGTGGATTAGTTGAATTCAGATATTATAGTCGTTGTATGCTGACTTGGTGGTTTGGAGGTTAAGCGTTTGTGCATGAGACCGTAGGTCCTGGGTTTGATTTTTGCGTACGGGACTGTAGATACTTATCGCTGAGGAGTCCCATACTGGGACGAAATGACCGTTCACTGCTTTCAGGTTTTTTATGGTGATCTAACGTTGATCGATTCATGATCTCAATAAAGTTCTAGTTTTATTATTTTGCTTTAATGGAGTTTCTGGTTTGTCAAAATTTCGGGTCATTTCTTGTCACTTTCAGATTTTCATACTTATGCTTTAGTTTACAACAACAATTTCCATTCAGGGTAGATGTAAACCTGTCAACAATTTCATTATATTTTCCTACTTTTCCTTTAAATCATAGATGCTTTATCATGTAGTGCACTTTTTCCATACCCAACCTTCTAGTCTCTTTTAGAAAGTTCTGATCTTATCAGTGAA